GGGAGGGGGCTATTTCAGGGAGCAGGTATTGCAAAGGTGTCCTGGGCAGGCACAGAGAGGAGGAAGCTGAAATGGCCCACAGGGGATCCTCAGGGCTTGTGGGCCACAGTGAGGATTCATTTTTAAAGTACATAGTGTCCAGATGCACTGGCTCACACCTGTAATCCCAGCACTTTGGGAGGCCAAGGCAGAAGTATCACTTGAGGCCAGGAGTTTGAGACCAGCCTGGGCAACATAGCAAAACCCCATCTCTAAAAAAATGAAAAAAATTAGCTGAGCATAGCACCTGCAGTTGCAGCTACTCTGGAGGCTGGAGGATCACTCGAGCCCGGGAGTTTGAGGCTGCAGTGAGCTATGATCACGCCACTACACTCCAACCTGGGTGACAGCAAGACCCTGTCTCTGGTTTTTTAAAAAATAGATACTCTGGGCCAGGTGTGGTGGCTCACGCCTGTAATCCTAGCACTCTAGGAGGCCGAGGCGGGCTGATTGCTCGAGGTCAGGAGTTCGAAACCAGCCTGAGCAAGATCGAGACCCCTGTCTCTACTATAAAGAGAAAGAAATTAATTGGCCAACTAATATATATAGAAAAAATTAGCCGGGCATGGTGGCGCATGCCTGTAGTCCCAGCTACTCAGGAAGGAGGCTGAGGCAGTAGGGTCGCTTGAGCCCAGGAGTTTGAGGTCGCTGTGAGTTAGGCTGACGCCACAGCACTCACTCTAGCCTGGGCAACAAAGCGAGACTCTGTCTCAAAAAAAAAAAAAAAATAGATACTCTGTTCATTAAGTGAGACCCTATCAGGACATGGGCTGTCCCAGCTCTGTGGGATCATAGGTTTAGAAGGCATTATTTTACTAATCTGCCTCCCCAGCCGCCACCTACTTGTAAGATGCTGGATTACATTGTCCAACAGAAAACACCCAGTCTGTAGCATTCTTGCCCCTGGCCTTGGGGAGAGGCTACCCCATGCGCCTGTTCAGAGTGCGCTCTCTGAACTTAATACTTCCAAAGCAGGGAAGAAAATGTGGCACTTAGATTTGGCAGGATCTAGATACTGGAGGCAGCCGTCACTGTGTCTCAGATTTGATGCTGGAGCATTGTGTGTGCTTTTGGGGGCTGGTTCCAGGAAGGATTGATGAGGCATTGTTGGCTGTAAATAAACCCCCATTCTCTCAGTCAGGACTTGGTTTGCCCAGCTCACAGGGCAGCTTGTCCAGCTTCATGGGTCTGTATTGTTTTTGCTTCCTCCTTCTGCTCTGTTGAGCTTTATCAGTGGCTGGGCTTTTGTTTTCTCTGCAGGGGGTACCACATTACAGGTTCTGTAATTCCTGAGAACATTGTGGCCCCTGCCACCAACCTACAGCCATGGCTGCTGTGTCTTACAAGTCTCAGTCACGTTGATTAAGAAACCAAATGGGCAGGTGCAGATCACTCTTCTCCAGGGCCAGTCCTAACTGCCACAACCACGTCATGCTCTGGTTGTTGGGACTTTAGTCTCGGGTAAAGCCTGGGGAGGCTGGAGGGGTTCTGACAGAAGAACAGTCCTGGCCTCAGAGCTTATTTCCTTGACCAGCTCAGCATTTGAGCCCCTCTTGCTCTTTCCTCCCTCCCCTTTTACGCTGGCTTTTGTTGGGAAGCTGTGGGTTTTGTTTTTTATTCTTCCTGTGTCTTAGTTGGACTTGAATAGAAAGCTGAAGAGGTTTACCTAATCTCTTCTCCTAGGTGTTGCTTTTTTTCCCTAGGTGAGACACTTTGTTTTCATCTTCATTATGAACTGGGTCTGTTCTGAGGGGCCTGCGCTGTTGCCTGCATGTCTCTGGGCTGTGGGTTCCATGCCTCTGGCTGATGCGGACAAATGTCTGGAATATAGACCTCCAGGCTAAGTTCATTACTTTGACTGAGACTCTCCACCTGGATGCCAGAGAGGTGACTCATACAAGTCAAGACAGGTGTCTCTTATGCGTTTCAAAACACTGCTTTGGGGAAAGAAAAGAGGAACAGTGGTTTCTTGTTGCTTTTTCTTGCATCTTTGTAACTCTCCCTTCCCCCTTCCCCCCACTTGTTTCAATGGAGAATTTAGGTGTAAATAAATGGTTCTAAAAAGCATCTTTGGGGTGTTCATCACAATCCTCACATCCTCACTGAGCTGTCCTCAGTGGTGATGTTAATGTCCTGGACCCATCTCCATTTGAAGACCAGGTGTTGCAATGGCTCTAGGCCGTTCATTGTGGAGTGGGATTAAGCTGTTTGGGCAGAGTAGACACTTTGGGATCCAGAGAATTTGGGTTGTTCTTTCTTCAGGAGCTGCTCGGTATAGTGACACAGACACCCAGGGGCCCACCAAGCTCATAATCAGCTTGTTGGTCTCAGGGGCAGAATTACATTCTAAAACATGACAGGGTGTGGCCAGCAGGAGGCAGATTCCCACTGTTTGGTTCTATAGCCTTCCGGTCCCAAGGGTGCCTTGACACCAGTGGGAATCTGAACCAACACAGACTACGGAGTCTAACGAGGAGACCTCAGTGCCGGAGTTCTGCCTGCTTCCTGAGGCACGCTGACTTGTACAGCTTCGGCGCTGGGCAGGCTCATTTATACCTTTGGCTTATAGGATTCTCTCAAGGCAGGAGAATCTTCTTGAACTTGGAGTTGTGTCCATAGTCCGTTGGTCAGCACTTTGCTCGGAGGCACTGAAAGTGCCAGGCGTGTGGGGCTGGGTTCTGCTGTGGGAAGCTTGGGTGTCAGGTTCAGGACTGAGTAAGAGTCGCAGCCCTGTGAGTTCAGGGTGTGTTCTGGGCACACCTCACACTTTTGTGCCACGAGGGTAGAAAAGCAAAGATTAGACTAGTTGGCAAATTAAAACCAACTATACCCAGTTTATCCTTTTTTTTTTTTTTTAAGTGTAGAAAGATTAATTTGGGGGGAAAGGAAGAGAACATAAGGTCAGTGTAAAGAGAGCCAAAGGGAAAGACAAAAAGGAGAAGAAACACTTCCTGTCTGTGATTTGTCCCATCATCTCTTTTCTTCCTGAGACGTGACTAAAGCACCTCAGCTAAGCCTGGCAAGGCGCTTGCGAAATGCAGGATCCCCACACCTGTGCACGCCCAGACACACCCTTTCCACCCCGGGCTGAAGAAGCCATGGGGAGGCTCCTGGCCTCTTTATTTACCTAAGGAGCCCCTGAAGTAGCAGGTGTTCTTTCCTTTAAAGAGACATTGCACACTTGGGCAGGATGAGTTGGGACTCCAGTGTGGGGATCCAGCGTCTTCCGAAGCTCTGCAGTTCAGGCCAGGAGAACGGGCGAGTGGGGCCTTCAGAGGAGTTAATGGGTCAGTCCCTGTCTGACCAGCCAGCTGGCTGGGGGGAGGGAAGATACACCCAGCTGATGTTTTCCCACAGTTGGCACTCAGAATGCTGTCCCCAGAGGGAAAATTTAAGGACATTTTACAGTCCTACATTTTGTTACTGGCACACTCTATAACACGGGTATCTTCAGAGTCACTGCTACAAAAGGGTTGTTGTTGGTCCCCTGAGAGACTGGTGTTCTCTGTAGAGCTGCTGATTTATGACTCCAACCTGAATTTCACGTGGCAATCCTCCAGGCCCTCCTCTCCACCCACTCCCAGCCTCCTCTCTGCCCACCTGATTGGCAGGGGGCGGTGGCCAGAAGAGATGGGTTGCTAAGCAGCCTGGCCTGGACGTTGTGCCCTTCCAGGTTGAATGAATAGCTGCAGTGTTCAGAGGAATCGGGATTTTGGCCTGTCCCTGAATCAGGAGGGACTTTTTGGGGAAAGGGGCTAGGAACTACTGGTCTGGTCTCGGCATGGAGCCATAGCTTGGGAGGGAGTTGGGTAGCCTGCCTTGAACCTTCTTTTCTGAGATGTGGCTTGGGGTGGCATTTCTTTGTGTAAAAAATGGAGCCTGTGGAGCTCTGCAGCTGTTCAGTGAACAACTCTTTTTGCAGAGTTGTTATCGTCTTAGCTCCTCCCTTGCTAACCAGAGGGAAAGGAAATGAGATCCAACAACTTTCTGTGAACTCAGCTTTTGCCATTTTGATCATTAGCATGTTGTGGCACTTGAGATCACTGACCTAACTGGGCTTAAGGGGCCAGAAATGGGGAAAACAGATAAGTTCTCACTATTTTATACTTGGAATAACAGAGGCAAGGGAAGGCTTATGATGCTGACCCTTGCCTTTTCAGTGTTAATTTGGTTTAGATGAAGCTTTTACTCTGGAGCAATGAAATCCAGAAGGTATCTGATAAGAAGCCTTGGCTCTTAGGTTTCTGCAGGGTGTGTGGATGTGGCTGTCATGGACCAGTGATTTTATTAAGGATTGGAGAAAGCTTTTCTTTGGAGAGAACATAAAGCCAGTGTAAAGAGAGCCAGAGAGGCAGATGGAGGCTGCCCCGAGCCTGGGGCTTTCTGAACCTAGTTAGTCACTTGTCAATGGCGCATTGCGTGCTTGCTTTGGAGTTTTATAAGTGATCCCTTTATCCTTGTGATAAAATCTCCAGTTTTTGTTCAAACTAAAAAATAAGAAAAGTCTCTTGGGAGCAGCTAATTTGTGGTTTTGTCTTGGGAGTTTGATGTGACAAAACAGTCACCTCTTGCTTCCTCAATTCCGGCAGTAGAGGCGGTGGTGCTATGTGCTGTGTTCGAGCAAGCTTCCTCTGACCAGGGGGAGAGCAGCAGGCAGGGTACAGGTCATCCAGGTGACATTTGCTCTCCTCAGCATTGGTGGTGGTCAGCACTGCTGGAGGGAGTAACCAGGGAGGAAAGACCGACCAGGGCTCTGGAGCATCCGGTTGCTGTGAGGAGAGAAAGGGGCGTTGGAGGCTTTGGGGTGCCAGAAGGCTCCCAAAGCATTGGCTCCCCTTTAGTGTACCTGACGCTAGTTTTACCTTTTCTCCTTTAAAAACCCTGAGTGGTCTCAGTGAGAGAATAACTGCAGCTCAGGAGACCTGGCCTTACCTCCTTCTGTTTCTGTTTCTCTTTTACAGGATAATGCAGAAGTAGAAAAGCGAGACCCCCAGGAATTAGTTGGTAAGTATTCGGGGACGCTGTGTCCATCCATGCCTGCTGCTCCACAGTGCTCTTCTCTGCTGAGAGTCCTCGTCCCCCATGTTCCCTCTCAGGGCCTTTGGCATTTCCTAGGATGCCTGGGTGAGATGCCTGGAGAACAATTCTTCTTTGAAAATCGTATTCATGGTGTGTTTTATTGGGCTTTGGTCAGCTGCCAATGTTGTCGAGAGGGAATTTGGGGCCCCTTCAGCTGGGAGCGCGTCTTGGTCTGTGCCCTGGGCCTGCTTCTGTGTTTGTGCCCCTCCTCCCCTCTCCACTGGTGTGTTCATGTTGCTCAGGGAATCAGCATGTGGCCTCTGCTGGCACTTTGCTCTGTCCCCAGGCGGGAACATGCCTCACAGCCCTGGAGTCTGGGTCCTTTTGTGACTTGAGAGAAGGAGGGACATTATGTTTCTGGAAAACAGCACACATCATCTAAGTCCTCTGCTAACCTTTTTAGAAAGCCCCTCAGCTCCTTTAGTGTGGCCATGGACTTTGTAATGGTTCCCAAAGCCTGACCCAGGGGAAGCTCCTGGTGTCTAAATCCAGACCTCACAGTGGGGCTGACCCTCCTTCTCTGTGGTGGCCATTACCAGCTCTCTCTGCCTGCTCTAACCCTCACAATGAAGGTTCCTACTCCCGTCCTGAAGGCCGTCCTGCAGAGCCCGCCCCTGTGTGCCTGCATTCACGGCTCCCTCGCTGCCACCCTGGGGGTTCAGAGCCCAGGGACTCAGCCTGGAAATGCTATTCCAGCAGTCAGCCCCTCTCACCTGTCCTTTCTCTGATTTGGACCCTTTTGCTGGGGGTGGGAAGAGCCCATTGTATCTTTCACTAACTAAAAGAGCTGGAAAATAGCTTTGCGCAGTTATCCGAGGCGCGATTATTGCTAATTGAAAAAAAAAAAAAAAAAAGAGCTGGAAATAATTAACCCTTTGCACTCAGATGTTGAGTGTAACTCGACACGGTTAGCAAAAATTATAGAAATTAAAATTACTCTTTGAATGTATCAATAATTTGAAATATAAAAAAATCAAAATAAATAAGTTTGTGTGAAAAGAAACTCCAATTTTTTATTCTGCCACGCTTTGTAAAATCTGGGGTATTTAAAAAATTCCAAGTAGAATAAAGGAATCGAGAAAAAAGCAAGCAGGTGCAAAGGGTTAATAGTTCATTATCTTTGTCTTTTGAGGAACGACTGGACAGGAACGTGATGACTCTGAGGAGCCCAGACTCAGCAGGACTCTGCCATGATCCCTGGGTTCTCTGATCAGTAGAATTTGAATATTTCAAATTCTATAAAAGCTAGGATTTTCCTAAAACCTAGAGTTTGCTCATTAGAAAATGGCATTGTCAGGGCACAATTGGCATTGAGGGCAGAGTAAGTGGGGCGCACATCTGCTAGGAAGTCAGCGGCCTGTCCTGAGTAGGTGGTCCACAGAGCCAGGTGTGGACGGGAGCCTGGGCCTCTTCCCCCCTCCCTTACTCTAGCCGGCCCTGCTGTTCATTCTTGGGGGGTCAGAGCAGACAGGGCAGCCTGTCCGTGCACCCTTCCTCTTGCTATTGGTGTTGGGCAAGCATTGGAATGTATGTGGGCATTAGCTGTCTCAGCCCCCGACCTCTTCCACAGCCAACTTGTCACTTTCTCTGTGCCACTTTTTAAAAATAGCTTTATTGAGGTATAATTTATATAGAGTAAGTTTTACCAATTTTAATGTGCCATTTGAAGAATTTTGACATATGTATATAGTTGTTTTAGCCTCCACCACAGTCACACTACAGATCACTTCCATCACTCCAAAACATTCCCTTCTGCCCATCCACCCCTTTGCAGACAGTTTTCCCCTTCGGCCTCAGGCAAGCAGCAGTGTACTTTCCTCACTATACTTTTTCCTATTTTAGAATTTCATGTAAATCAGGATCTCAACCTTGGCACTATTGACACTCTGGGCTGGATAATTCTTTCCTGTCCTGTGCATTATATCATAGGATGTTTGACAGCATCCTTAGTCTCTACCCACTAAATGCCAGAGGCACTCCCTCTCCCTCCCCCAGATGTGACAATGAAAAATGTCTCCAAACATTACCAAGTATCCCCTTGGGGAGACAGAATCACCCCCAGATGAGATACAGATGAAATCATAGGATTTTGCATAGCATCTTAAGCTTAGCAAAATGCTTATAAGATTCATCTATGTTACTTTCTTTTTCTTGCTAAGTAATATTTCATTGTAGGGATACACCACAGTTTGTTTATATATCGACCCATGGAAGACACAAATGGATCTTAAAGCCCTGCATAGTTTTGAGGCCAGGCTCTGTGGCTCACGCCTGTAGTCCTAGCACTCTGGGAGGCCCAGGCGGGCAGATTGCTCGAGGTCAGGAGTTCGAAATCAGCCTGAGCAAGAGCAAGACCCCGGCTCTACTATAAATAGAAAGAAATTAATTGGCCAACTTATATATATAGAAAAATTAGCCGGGCATGGTGGTGCTTGCCTGTAGTCCCAGTTACTCGGGAGGCTGAGGCAGCAGGATCACTTGAGCCCAGGAGTTTGAGGTTGCTGTGAGCTGGGTTGACACCATGGCACTCACTCTAGCCTGGGCAGCAAAGCGAGACTCTGTCTCAAAAAAAAAAAAAAAGCTCTGCATAGTTTTGAATACTCTTACCATTTCTCATTGAATAATAAGTATTTAGCTCCTCTTCTCCAGAGCAAGGACGAAATTAGTTGAGTGCAGAGGGCTTCCATTCACGATGCTGTGCCCGTCTTCCCCTCTGCCTGAACTCAGCTCCTTTGTTTGCTCCCCTGGGTGTCGGGACTCAGGTTGCTCCACTGGTACGGGAAGCACTTGCATCTGTGTAGACAGGCCCAGCTTTAGCAGAGTGAGCAAGGGAGCAGAGAATCTACCTCATAGATGTCTCCAGCACGGGAGCTCCTTGGCAGAGCTGGTGTGCACACCCTGTCCCTGCCCTCCAGGCACCCCACCTGTGCCCATAGCTGTGCCTAGAACAGTAGTGCTAGGGTGGCAGTCCAGTTGGGGTCCCCATGTTGCTCTTCAGCTGGGGACACTCCACTGCCTCCTGAAGTTACACACACACACCCGCCTGCTCACCACATTCACTGTGCCCTCTCATAATAAGCGTGTCTCACCACTGCTGCTGCTCAGACTCCTACTGGCGGCAGTGGACACTGTGGTTATTCTCTGACTTAGGCGCACATGCAGGTAACTCACACTGACAGTAGGCTAGTAGGCTCAAGTCCTAAGGGTGGCTGCCCTTCTAGAATGCCCCCAGCAGACCCAGGCAGCAACCACAGGCAGGAGCACTGCTTCCAAACTGTGGGCACATTGCTTAATGTATTTCCTGGGAAAATAGTTTGAGGCTCTGTGGGGCTGATGTCTTCTACATTTGATTCATTCTTGGGCTTAGGAAGGAGAGAATCACTAAAAGATTGCTGTTGAAATCTGTGTAATACACTCTGATCTTGCTTTCCTGACTGTGCCCCTTTATTTGCCAGTTACTTCCTAGCCCGGGGCTCAGGATGGGCTCCCTTCCTGCTGTCATATTGTATACCATCTGAGCCCCAGGGTATGGTTGGGTTGCTATGGCAACAGAGTCACACCCTGTTTTTCCAAAAGGCTTTCCTGGAAAGTGCCAGAGGGTGCTCTTTGTGTGTCTGTCACATGCAGGCACACTCTCATCAGCCTAGGAAAGAACTTATCCCACTCCCAGGCATCTATTGCTCAGTGCCTGCTAGGCCCACCTTACTTCTGTTGGTGGTGCTTATAAGATATGAGGACCAGCTCTCCCCAGCCATTCCACTCTCTATAGGCCTCTGCAGCCCTCTTGAGCCTGAGGCTGAGAACTTTTACTGTCTCTGGGCTGGGAGGAAAGAAGTCGTCAGGATGGGATTTGAACTCCAGCCAGATCTGGGTGTCACCCTTGGTTGAGTAGACTGAAGGAAGGTGCTAGGCAAAGGGAAGCACTTCATCCCCTGGTGGAAACTGCTCTTGGGCTACACTGATGTCTCGGGTCCACAGCGCGACCTCTGATCTATATGTCACCCAGTTTCTGTCCTCTTACCCTCACCCAAAGTGGCAGGTCTGGGCATGTCCAGTGAGAAGCCACTGACAATGGTGAAAATCAGCACATGTAATCATGTTTTAAGACTGCTCGGGACTCAACCCCTGGCCTCAGAGTGTGCACAGGCTTGTACCACAGCTGCTGAACTGGTGAAGTCCGGGGGCCTGTCCCCAGCCCTCCTCGGCACTCTGTTCTTTACAGTAACAGTGGAACTCCAATGAGACCAAAGCACTTTATCTGCTAAGCAAACATTAACCCACCCTCGGCAGAAGGGAAAGGCCCAGGCAGCAGCCACTCAGGCCCCAGGGGAGCCATTGTCAGCACTGGGTTAGCCCCAGGCCTGGCACATAGTAGGTACCCAGTAAGTACTTACTGAATGTTGGTGGTGGCTTGTTCATTTTTTCCCTTCATCCTGCCCCACCCTGCTCTGCCTGCTGTTTGCTCATTGTATGGTCCTTTTCATGAGAGAATGTTTTAAAGAGCACAGGCAGAATCTACAACAAATAGCGCATTGTCTGAGTGATCCAAAACAGGACTCTGCTGTGCCAGGGTGGCCAGAGCTTTGGAGGAGGAGTGGAGAGAGCAAGACTTGGGTGGGCAGTGGCAAATCTCTGAGGGAGTTGTCCCTTCTCAGCAGAATCGGGCCTTTTGTTCCAAAGAATGAGGTGGGCCAAGAGTGGATTGATTGATTGATTGGTGTATTTCTTTTAAGACCCTAAGCTGATAACAGTTCCTTTTTTTAAAGTGTTACTCATACACAAGGCAGTTTTGGACACTCTGGGATCCAAAACCTAGGGAACCCTGAACTCTTTCTCCTATAGCCTAGGCAGGTAAACCTGAGACAGGAAGGGTGACACCAAGCACCTCCGAGTTTCTGGAGTCCTAGAGCTGGCTCACATTATGGGCTGATAGTGCATAGTGCACATCTCAGTGACTTCACTTTGGTTGCTTGAAATTGGCCACAGCGGGAGAATTTATACCCCAGGAATTGGCAAATGCTACAGATCATGGCTCCTCCTCTCCTATCCCCCCAACTCCTGCCTCTAGCTGGTTATTATACATTTACCAGCACACTAAGGACAGACTCTTTCCTTAAAAGTTCAACACTGGGCCAGGCGTGGTGGCTCACGCCTGTAATCCTAGCACTCTGGGAGGCCGAGGCGGGAGGATTGTTTGAGCTCAGGAGTTCAAGACCAGCCTGAGTAAGAGCGAGACCCCTTCTCTACTATAAATAGAAAGAAATTAGCCAAACAACTAAAAATAGAAAAAATTAGCTGGGCATGGTGGCCGCATACCTGTAGTCCTAGCTACTCAGGAGGCTGAGGCAGGATTGCTTGAGCCCAGGAGTTGGAGGTTGCTGTGAGCTAAGCTGACGCCACGACACTCTAGCCCAGGCAACAGAGTGAGACTCTGTCTCAAAAAAAAAGTTGGCACATGGCTGACTCCTAGTCATTTGCTCTCAACTCAGATGACACCTCTCAGGCCACATCTGAACACCCTACCCTGTTTTACTGTTTTCATAGCATTTATCCCTCCTGAAAACATTCTGTGTGCCTATTTATTGTCCATATTGTCTGCCCCCTGTCCCAACCCCTCACCTACAGGATTTTTCCCTCCGTTCTCTTAACAGCCTCCTTTTCTGAAAGAGTCCGGAACATGTCACCTGATGAAATCAAGATCCCTCCAGAACCCCCTGGCAGATGTTCAAATCACTTACAAGTAAGCATGGCTCGGCTGCTGAGGCCTATGCAGATTAGGTAGCCTGGGTTAGAGTTTGCTTTGGTCTTACCCTTAAGAGGCCCCGAGGAACTATAAAGGAACTGCCGGGTGGGGAAGATTCCTCTCCTAATATTCCTAAAATGCCAATTCAGTAGCATCATGCCTGACAAAACTCATACAGATCTAGTCTGGGGTTTTGAAATCCCAAGGATTTGGAGGTTTTAGTGCAGTTACTCCCTTGGGAGTAGGACCTTGGGGGACAGTTGGGATTTCAGCTTCTGGAGTTGTTTCTCCTTTTCCCTCTGTGCATTCCCGTGAGTGGGACCTTGTAGCTAACAATGGGACAGACACCCAAGAATGCATGGTCGTGGCACCCAGTCCGCCTGCTCTGCTTTTGATCCCGTAGCTCCCATTGGGTGCCTCTGGCTGCACAGCAAGTCCATGGCACCACCCTAACGGATGGATGACTAATGGGACCTGGGGCTGAGGAATGCAGCAGGCTGGGGAGGGCCAGAGTCAGGACTGGTGGCACAGTGCAGATTCCCTTCCTTTCCCAGAAGTCTCCTCCCTTGGCTGAGTTGTCTGCCCACCACAACCCTCTAGGACCACGTCACCCACCATGCCAGATGACAAGCTCCGGCCTGTATGAATGGCTCCAGCAATTTGCCAGGCAGAGACAACCAACCACTCAGCCTTTTGAGTTCAGAATATTTCTTCTCCTTTTTAGATCTTAATAGTGGTGGAAACCATGACAGTCGAGCAAACATTTTAGTTCATCTGAGGGCCAATCTAATGGCCCAGGATACACAGCCAAGTTATCTATAAGATACAGGTTTGCCCCCAAGTTGCCAAGCTGCCTGTATAAGGCCTGCCGCCTCTATTACCTTTGAAGAGATAATGTTGAGGAAAGAGGTTTGTCACTCTTGGCTTCTCTCTTGTCTAGTAATTGTATCACAAACCCCTCTCTGCAATTCAGTGCTTCCTCTAGCCAGTCTCGGTAAAGAGATGTGGCTTCTAACACGCGGAGTGGATGACCTCTCCTGATACTTCCTAAAGGGGGTCAAGTGGGACCTCCAGTCATGCCCACCTCCTCTCACAGGTGAAGTGTCTTAAATAAATGTTTCCTTTCTGGAGTATCTGTATATTTAACTGCCACTGGGGGGAAGGTGGCAGATGGATCTTACACCGGTGGGTGCCCACCTTCCTGGCTAAGACTGCTCTTCTCAGAGGTGGCTTTGCCTGAGACTCAGGTGTCCTGAGCATTGGGCAGTGCTGATGCTGTGGACTTTGGGCATCATCTCTGTAGGCATGCAGGACCCCCCTTCCTGAGGGCACCTATGGCCCTGGCCATGGTCAGTGAGGCTGGATGCCTGCCCGCTGATGTCTCCAGTTTCCCACTGAAAGCCGGGCAGCAACCTGTGGGGTGTTTTAGTGAGAGACAAGCTCTTGGCCTTGATGGTGACCCTTGATAACTCCCACAAAAGACATTCTAGGAAATCTGTGACACCAAATCCAGAAAACTCAACTCCTGCCTTCCTCCGAAAGGACGTAGCCCTTCCCAGGTCTCCAGTGAGGACTTAGCTGAAGACCAAGCTCGTGTTAATAGAAAACCAGCGTTCAGACCCTGCACATCCACTGTATGCCTTAAGCTCTGTCTTACTGTACACAGCGCTAAACAAAGGCAGGTAGAGAGAATACGGCTGGAGGTGAGCTTCATACAGCTCTGGGGACCTCACATTCACCTTCACACAGTTCTCATGACCACAGGCTAGAACAATGGTCAGATTGGGTCTGTCATCCACACACTCTGTTCCTCTTCCGTAGGACAAGATCCAGAAGCTTTATGAGCGAAAGATAAAGGAGGGAATGGATATGAACTACATTATCCAAAGGAAGAAAGAATTTCGGAACCCCAGGTGGGTTTCCCATGAGCCTGCAGATTCAGCTGAGTTATTTGTGTTGGACCAGGGACTGGGTGCCTCCAGGGAGGTGGTGAGGAGAGGCCCAGCTCAGATCCCACCTGAACCCAAGGGAGCCATCACCTAGACTTATCAGCGCACTAAATGCCTACTAGGCACAGCAGAGTGTGTTAACCCAGCCAGAGGTTTGCTGTTTGAGATCCAGACTAAACACATAAACCAATATGTAGAGTAGAAGCCAAGAGACTGGGCTGGATTGGGGGAGGTCTGGCCCTGCTTTACTCCTAAAGCACATAACCTCTCAAGGCCTCAGTTTCCTCATCTGTACAATGGGGGAATTAGAATACACAATCACTGTAGGTTCTTCTTCCAACTCCAAAAAGTTGAATTTTGCATACAGGCGAGATGTTTAGAACCAGAGTTATATGTGGGTTTTACTCCATCTAATGCTCAAGCTGGTGACACTTAAAAAGAAGGTGGCGTGTGACAGCAGGGACCTACCCTGGCCCAACCCACCACATTCAGCCATGTAGACTAAAGGTCAGAGACATCCAGGTGAGACATAGAAAGCAGCCAATACCTTGACCCCATACTCATCCTGGCCTGCAGCCAGCAGTTCCATCTACCTGGGAGGGTGGAGGGTTGAGGGTCAGAAGTGGGGCGGTCAGGCCTCCCATCAGGAAGTTTGCCTAGAAAAATTGAGCTGGATTTAAAGGTTTTGTCTCAGCCCCAGGAGCTGCATGGTCCTGGTGCTATTTAAGGACATGGGAGTAATGCCTGCTCAATGCCTGTGCTGTTCTGCTTTTAGCATCTACGAGAAGCTGATTCAGTTCTGTGCCATTGATGAGCTTGGCACCAACTACCCAAAGGTGCGTCCTGTCCACAGGGGTTGGAAGTTGATGGGGTCCCTAGGGTGCTGTGCTTGCTCCACAAGGTTTGACCCTAGAGCCACAGAAAGGCCCATGTTGCAGCACCGCTGGTTGAAAAGCACAGTCCCCATCACGTCTGTTATTCTTGCTATTCTGAAATAGTCCAGTAAAGAGATTCTGGTGATGGATCTGGTCCCTGGCCCCTGACTGGTTAGGGCCCAAATACAGCCTCCCTGCTCCTGCACACCAGCCTGTGGCATTGCTGGACAAGTGCATCATTGCTCTCGTCATCTTAAGAGCTTTGCTGGCTACCCCTTGGCTAGAGACCAGGGATGACAGCGGAGCCCCTATGCTGTCAGGGGTGCTTGAAAACCAGGCCAGGAAAGTCCAGGGGAAGACTTGGGTAAGGGACTTGGGTTTCAGAGTCATTTGTCATCTGATTGTCCCTACTGGCTACAGCTTTAACCCTTTCTTTTTCAGGATATGTTTGACCCCCATGGCTGGTCTGAGGACTCCTACTACGAGGCGTTAGGTAGCCTTCCACCCACCTACTGCCTATGCACCCATCTAGTCAGTCATCTAGGCGACACATATTTCAAGGTGTCCTCTACATCAGGTTGTGTCCGAGGGGCTGGGTATAGTCTTGGACAAGACAGGTGCCATCCCTGACATACAAGGCTTATGATGTAGCAAAGGAGATACAGGGCTGAACCAGTAATTCCAACATTGATGAGATTATTGGCAATGGGAGTTGCCGGGTGTGGGGGGGACCCTCCACCAAGCAGGGTCTCCTAACCCAGCCAAAGGGGTGGGAAGGCCAAGCTGGGGAAGCCACGCTCAAGCTGAGGTTTGAAGATCATGGGGGCAGAATTCCCCAGCACAGAGGCCGTGTGTTCTGAGGGCAGCGACAGCACAGCCTGTGCCTAAGGGACATGTTACGGAGAACTGGGAGGAATGTCCAAGGGTCCAGCCCCTTTGCCACAAGACCAGACCCTGGTCTGTTAGAGGTGTTTTGTTTGGCCCATACAAGTTTTGTCTTATTTTAATATGAGTCAGTTGCCAACATTGTACACAAAATGCATAATTCCAGCTCCTCCTGGTCAGTGGGAAAGGTAGTCTACACTGGGCCTGTGTTCCCACGAGGCAGCAGAGCTGGAGCTCAGGATAGCTGATTCTTCCAGGCGGAGCACGAGCAGCCCCAGGCGCCTGCCCCATGCTGACCAGGGACTGGTGCTTCATTTCCCCTCATGCAAAGGAACACTAAGCCCATGAGTGCACTAGGCTCTCTCGGCCCAGAGCTGCTCCTGGGCTTGCATAACAGTTTATCTTGTCTTCATAGCCAAGGCCCAGAAGATTGAAATGGACAAATTGGAAAAGGCCAAAAAGGAGCGAACCAAAGTAAGTGATGACAGAACTCCTGGCTGGAAAAGGCAGATGTGTGGATTGCACAGGTCCTGCCTGCTGCCCCTACCCTGGCCCAACGTCATGGTCCGGCGATGCCCTGTGCAGCCTTTGCTGGCCCTCCTGCACTGAGCAGGCTGCTGGGCTGGTGGCCTCTTGCCTTTGTTTCATTCCTGGAGTCTTGTGGTTTGCTGTGTTATGCCCTTCCCTCCCCTCCACTCCCTTCCTCACTGCAGAGCTCTCTTCTGGGTCATCGGTGCCCTCCCTGGCCTGAACGGAGGGAGATGTTTCTTGTGAGAGTGCTTGGCCTCAGCTCCAATCTGTGAGTTTCTTGACCTCCAGAGCTGATCTCAGCAACCTGCCTGGGTGCTACCCTGTAGGTCCCATGTCTGATGGCCAAGTGACCTCTCATTTTAGGACCCTGAGGGCCATATCTTCCCAAGCAGCATGGTCTGGGTCCTTCAGGTAGCACCAGTTTGGCTGTGAGACTAAAACATCTCTGGGCACTGTGCCCTTTGTGACCACAGTCTCCGAGCAGGGGAGCCCTGGGCATCAGGACACCGGCTCCTCCCACCTCAGGTTGGGCTTGAGCTTCCAGACCATTCCCCTCACCCCAGGCAAAGGGGCTGTGGGGCCTGAGGGTGCTGGCGGCCTTCTCAGAGGGCCAAGAATATGGGAGCTGATGCGAGGGATAATCTGGGTTTCTCATTCTTAACCCTTGATTGAATCTCCCTTCTCTCTCTTTCCTTCTCCCTTCCAAACCCCAGGCTTGTTGCAGGGACGTGTCTGCAGCGCCTGGGGACCGGAGCTGTCCTTCCCCTGTGCGGGCGGGCACCGCCTCCTCCTGGGTGTGAGGAGGAGGGGCCTGGCCAAACGGTGCTGGGCATGTGAGGTGGGCGGTGGGCAGCGGGCTGCTGGGCATGTGCAGAGACCAGGTGATGCCGGGAGGGACCCGATGCTGTTTGGAAAGCTTTTCTTTGAGTGTTTAAAAGGCCCTTCAGGCTCTTTTTAAACACCTCTCCCTCCCCCAAGACAGTCACAGCAGAGTTGATTTTCAATTCCTCCTTTGTATAGTGCCAAACTCCTGTCCCCTGGGAACAGACGGATGGCAAAAGGATTTAGATGCACAGCTTTGCACAGGTTTTACTTTCTTCCTTCTCCCCCTCCAGATTGAGTTTGTGACAGGCACCAAGAAAGGCACCACAACCAACGCCACGGCCACCACCACCACCACCGCCAGCACTGCTGTTGCAGGTAGAAAGCAGCTTGTCCCAGCTCGGGCTCGGCTCTGCTTCCCCAGCCACACTACAGATGGAATGAGGGGTTTCCCTGGCTCGTACAGGAGACAAGATACCATGTGGTTCTGGGCTTACGCCTGGTCTTGCTCTCTTCTGAGCTAAGACTGAGAACCAGCTTTGGGAGGCTGGGCACGGTGGCTCACACCTGTAATCCTACCACTCTGGGAGGCCGAGGCGGGTGGATTGTTTGAACTCAGGAGTTCGAGACCAGCCTGAGCAAGAGCGAGACCCCATCTCTACCAAAAATAGAAAGAAGTTAATTGGACAGCTAAAAATATACAGAAAAAATTAGCCAGGCATGGTGGTGCATGCCTGTAGTCCCAGCTACTCGGGAGGCTGAGGCAGGAGGATCGCTTGAGCCCAGGAGTTTGAGGTTGCTGTGAGCTAGGCTGACACCATGGAACTCTAGACCAGCAACAAAGAGAGACTCTGTCTCAAAAAACAAAACAAAACAAAAAAAAAACCAGCTTTAGAGCCTGAGGTGGGACCTGGTTCACTGGCTGCCCCTCAGGCCTTCATGAGCGGGGCCCCACCACTGGCCTGCAGGGGGAGAACACTGCTCTTTGGTTGGTCATGACCCTGACTTCTCTCTTGCTTTATCTCCAGATGCCCAAAAGAGAAAGAGCAAATGGGACTCAGCCATCCCAGTGACAACGATAGCCCAGCCCACCATCCTCACCACCACAGCCACTCTGCCAGCTGTTGTCACAGTCACCACCAGCGCTAGTGGCTCCAAGACCACCGTCATCTCTGCCGTGGGCACCATTGTGAAGAAGGCCAAGCAGTGACCTGAGGAGCTACCTTGAGACTCGGAAGGACTGTGTAGCCCAGTACCGCTGCCCACTGGGGAAGTGCCACTTTATATATTTCAGGACTGGGACCTGCTCCCCAGACACCACCTGAGAGGAGCTTCTTTGTGACATTCCAACCAGAAGAAGGACATTGCAGCACAGGAATGGAGCACTGCAGACAGTGTCCATGCACCACTTAGGGTCTGTCGCCCTATTAAAGGAGGCGTGCTCTGACATTCTGGCATCTCAGGTGCATTGGCCTCTCCTCCAGTCTGTTTTCAGGCAAATTCAAAAGCTCAAGTGTCGCTCTGTCTTCTCGGTTGGAATTATTGCCATGGGGATGACAGTGACAGCAGGGTGCTGCTCAGAGGGGTCGCCCATGAAGTCACCATGTCATTCTCAGCGTGTACCTCTTGCCATGGGCAGGTGGGACCCCAGGGTCAGGTGAGACCCTATATTCCCCCCATCTGCTGCCCTGATCCTCAAACCCAGCCAGTTCTCAGCAAAAGCGGAGGCCTCTGTTCCCTTGGGTGCTCTTGAGCACGCCCCAGACCAGACTGCTTCTTGGACACACCCAGGCTTTTGAAGTCAAGCCAGTTACCAGAAGGGCTGGAGTGAGATCCCGGACCGCACAGGGAGGGAAGGCATCGGAGCCTGGCCTAGGCTACCCCAGTCCCTCGGTGCCTGTGAGCACAGCCAGCAGGAGCAGAGCAGCGAAAGGATGAATCACCACCTCCTCTGGCCGGGGGCAGCTCTTGTTTACGGGAAAGCCCTGCTCCTGGGAGGGCTCCTGCCACCCCGCCCTTCCTCTCCCTGTTATCTCTGCCCCACAGCAGCCCCTAGGCAGCGCCAGTGGCCACTGGGCTTCTTCTAGGGCCAAAACAGGTTTCCCAGCCATCACTAGCCTGAAAGTCCGGAGGGAACCTTTTACCTTTATTGATCTTTGGCAGCTCTCCCTCCCTCCCACTCCCCGGAAGTGGCAAGTGTCAGAGAAGGAAGCCGGGCTGTGAAGAGCTATGTTGCTTCCGTGCAACCGGTGGAGGTTTAGAAAGATGGTCCTGAAATTGCCTGGTACTGTTGTGTGGCCTGAGGACTATAACGAACTCTGCCGTGCGGTCCACAAAGTAAAATATTGAGTCTACTTGTCCCCCTGCCCCCACATACACTGAGGCTCTTCAGGAGGTGGTTCTCACTCTCCCTCCTTGGAGGGACTTCACAGCCCTGGGGAGAGGTGCTGCCACCCGATCATCCCCAAGATGTCTCTGAAAAGCCTTCCTGCCCTGCAGCGTCTGGCGGGAGCCCTCTCATGGGCTGGGACGCCGTGGAGGCCCTGTGGGAGGCAGCGTGGCTCAGTGGAAAGAACCGTGAATGTGTAGTCGACACTCATGGTCTGGAGGCCCAGTCTACAGCAAGTTGTATGGTCCTGGGCCCTTAACCTCTGTACGCCTGTTTCCTTCTCTGGCATATCACAGAAATAAAGTTTCCTAAGGTGGTTGTGAGGAATCTGTGAGATGACCTATACAAAAGCTTCATAAACTTCAAAGAACTCTACAAGTGTTTGTTGTTGGCCAGTGTTCTTATTTTAGAGCAAGGAGAGAAGCAAACTCAAGGCCTTCCCCCCATCCGGGTCTCTTTCAGGGAGGATTATGGGCAGGTCTTTCCCCCACTACCCTTTGCCATCCTCTGGCCCTTCCTTACCCCAAGCCCTGCCTTTCAGCTGTGCAGTTGGAGCAATGATTACCGAGTATCCTTCAGGGCCCAGCAGTGGGGGTCTCAGGGAATTAGCACAGGCTTAGAGTTGGGCAAGCCAGGCTGCAAGAGCTGCCTTTCCACTCTTAGAAGCCTTGAACACTGGGTCAGGGTCTTTACTTTCATTTACACATTTTGTTTTGTGTTTTCTTGGTTGGTTTTTTTGTGGGGTTTTTTGTTTGTTTGTTTTGGTAGAGACAGGGTCTCACTATCTTGCCCAGGCTGGTCTCCTAGAACTCCTGGCCTCAAATGATCCTCCCATTGTAATCCCAGACTGTTGGGATTACAGGCATGAGTCGCCTAACCCGGCCACTTTCATTTACTCCTCTGCAAAATGGTGCCTGCCGGGAGGGGAGGAATGGGCATTTATTGAAACCTTAAAATCTGTACCCCCATAATATGTCGAAATAAAAAAAAAATGGTGCCTGCCCACCTGAACCCCACTGAGGATGGCCCACAGGTGTATCAACCATCTCTGTGGAGACTGGATGTCCCAGGCACTGGGGACCAAACCTGTTTCTGACTAATGTGTCTCTGCTCACCAGGAGGGCTTAGTTCTTGTTTGTTTGTTTGTTTTTTGAGACAGAGTCTTACTTTGTTGCCCAGGCTAGAGTGAGTGCCTTGGCGTCAGCCTAGCTCACAGCTACCTCAAACTCCTGGGCTCAAGCGATCCTTCTGCCTCAGCCTCCCAAGTAGCTGGGACTACAGGCATGTACCACCATGCCTGGCTAATTTTTTCTATATAAGTTGGCCAATTAATTTCTTTCTATTTATAGTAGAGACGGGGTTGGGGTCTTGCTCTTGCTCAGGCTGGTTTCAAACTCCTGACCTTGAGCGATCCGCCCGCCTCAGCCTCCCAAGATGCTAGGATTACAGGTGTGAGCTACCGTGCCCGGCCTGAGGGCTCAGTTCTGATCTTGGGTGGTGATGTCAGGATTCATCCAGCTCCCACCTTTGCACATGAAGTATCCTGAAGGTGAGCTCAGTTTCTCAGAATCCCTTCCTGACACCTCTGGGTGATTAGTTCCTCCTTTCTCTGCTCTCCACACTCTCCTGCCTCTAGGATGGAGCTTCACGGCCTGTAACCTCTACCCATGTATTTGTGAGGGGCTGCGACCACCGGTGTCTCTTAGTTCTTGTGAGCAAGACAAAGTAGTGAAAGCTATGCCCCGAGTGCCTGGCATTAAATGAACAGCTGATTGGGTGGATGCAGGCATGAAGGACAGGTGAGTTTGCTTGGCTTCCTAAGGTGTGATCCCTACCTCGACAGTCACTGGACTGAAAGTGTCCACCCCTCCATGCCCAGTGCTCACTGCACCCCTCAGACCTTGTGTGGTGAGATTCCAAAGTGCTGTTGTGGCTTGGTCATGTGGTGGCAATCCTTGAGTCTCAGTGATGGGTACAGGAGGGTTCATTCTCTCTAATGTCGTCTATGTTTAGAAAACTATAATAAAAGATTTGTAAAGGGCTATTGAGCCACAAAAAAACCAAGAAAAGTCTCCATGGACAGATTTGGAGTGATCCTCAGGAGAGATTAATTGAAAAGTCAAGGTACAAAACAGTGCATATGATGTGCTCCCTTTTGTGTAAGAAAGGGAGGAAATACAAAATAGATATAAGAATAAAATAAAAGAAATTAAATATCCCTCTTAAGTCTGAATAGGAAATATCAACATGAACGAATTAAGGAAAAAATACATTTTCTACCTCTGTCCACTGAAAGGACATGCCACCCCATTAGCAATGAGTGCATGTAGTGCCCAGAGGAGCTAGAGCTCTAATACCATTCCCCATTAAAAACTAAGCCAGGCAGGGCGCAGTGCCCCATGCCTGTAATCCTAGCACTCTGGGAGGCCCAGATAGGCGGATTGCTCCAGGTCAGGAGTTCAAAAGCAGCCTGAGCAAGAGCGAGACCCCGTCTCTACTATAAATAGAAAGAAATTAATTGCCCAACTAATACATATAGAAAAAATTAGCCGGCCATGGTGGCGCATGCCTGTAGTCCCAGCTACTCGGGAGGCTGAGGCGGTAGAATTGCTTGAGCCCAGGAGTTTGAGGTTGCTGTGAGCTAGGCTGACGCCAAGGCACTCACTAGCCTGGGCAACAAAGTGAGACTCTGTCTCAATAAAAAAGGGACTTATTGAATAACCCCCTGGCTCTGGGGAGAGAACAGACCCAGAGATTCTCCACCCGAGAGGCCTCTGCCCTCAGTTGGAGCATGTGCTTAATGCTGCCTCTCCAGACTAGTCGCTAGACTTTTTTGATCACAGGTCCCCTGTCTATTATTTATTAATAATGTGTTTGTTTATAAAAACATGTTCTACTCTACCAATAAGTGATGTGTATCAATAGTGGCTTAGCTGGCACATCCCTGGAGAATATGCAACCCACTTTGGAGACCCATGGTTTAAACTGTGAGCTCCATGAAGCAAGCAGGTGATATGTTTCATTCATCTTGGTTTCCTGAGCATTTGGCATAGGATCTCATGAAATGCTTGTAAAATGAATAAGTGATTGAACTAATGAATGAACAAGTCTCGCCTCATTGGAGGCCACGTGAGTGCAGAGGAGTTAGGAGCAGTCGTGCAAGGTTCATGGGCTCCATCCTGTTCCGGGAGCCTCCCCTCTCTCTCTCTTTTTTTTTTTTTTTTTTTTTTTCTCCCTCCTTGGAGGGACTTCACAGCCCTGGGGAGAGGTGCTGCCACCGGATCATCCCCAAGATGTCTCTGAAAAGCCTTCCTGCCCTGCAGCGTCTGGCGGGAGCCCTCTCATGGGCTGGGACGCCGTGGAGGCCCTGTGGGAGGCAGCATGGCTCAGGGGGCCGAGGCGGGCGGATTGCTCGAGGTCAGGAGTTCGAACCAGCCTGAGCAAGAGCGAGACCCTGTCTCTACTATAAATAGAAAGAAATTAATTGGCCAACTAATATATATAAAAAATTAGCCGGCATGGTGGCGAATGCCTGTAGTCCCAGCTACTTGGGAGGCTGAGGCAGGAGGATTGCTTGAGCCAGGAGTTTGAGGTTGCTGTGAGCTAGGCTGACGCCACGGCACTCACTCTAGCCTGGGCAACAAAGCGTGACTCTGTCTCAAAAAAGAGAGAGAGAGGAGGCTCCCGGAACAGGATGGAGCCCATGAACCTTGCACGACTGCTCCTAACTCTCTGCACTCACGTGGCTCCAATGAGGCGAGACTTGTTCATCATTAGTTCAATCACTTATTCATTTTACAAGCATTTCATGAGATCCTATGCCAAATGCTCAGGAAACCCCAA